TTTATTGATCATTTAGAATGGCTCAGGCAGTTACTTAAGGGTAAACCAATCACATTCCTAGAAACATCGCCTTGTCAGCCTCATGCTGAATCCAGACAGCAGGCCTGTCTGCTCTTTTGGAGGGACCGAACACCTCTGTCCACAGCCATGGGTCTGCAGGAATGGCAGATTCAAGCGCTGCTGCAAGGGGCCTGGTGGGGCTGTGGTCATTCAGTTCAGCAAGTTCTGGAAGTCCTTTTCCATGAGTGTCTCAAGTTGTGCTGTTGCAGCCTCAATATCCTGAATCGATTCAAAACGTTTCCCTTTCATGGCCATTTTGACTTTGGGGAAGAGCCAAAAGTCACATGGTCCTAGATCCAGTGAATAAGGTGGATGATGGTACACACCTGCATGTTTTTACAAGGCTGTCTTTCTGGTGGATGGAACTCAGCAGCTGAATCCGCCTTATTTTGTTATCACACCTTATAAAGACCTTCATGAAAGCAGACTTCCAGAATTGCTTCAGAAAGGGGCAGGAATGATGGAGTAAGCATGCTTGAAGTGAGAGTGAGTGTTTTGAAGGGAATTAATGGGAATTTGTCTTCTATTGTAATAAATTTTTTAACTGAAACATTCACCATATTTTTTATCACCCCTTGTATGCTGGGTCTTGCCCACCATACCTCTCCCATGGGGAAGCTCAGGTCCCTCCACCCCTCACCTCTGAGGTCCTCCTGCTTCTCCCTGAGAAGGGACCAGGTCAGCCTTGTAACACCCCCACACACACACACACACACCATCAAGTGCAAACCAGCCCCTCTAGTACCAGGCACCTCACGGACACTTTCATAGCCATCCCCTTCCTCTGTCTGTGCTCGGGGTCACAGGCCCTTTGAAGCATCATCACTATGATTGTTGCTCTCTCTGGAATCATTATAGTACTATTTGTAATTGCAAGGTTTGTATCTGTCACCTTCCCATTGCTGGGAGAAGATATCTGACACCTGCAACTTACAAGAGGAGAGGTTTAGCTTAGCTCACAGTTTCAAGCAGGCAACAGAACCACTGAGCTAAATCCCCAGCCCTCGATATTCTTAGCTCACAGTTTCAGAGGCTTCCGTCCATGGCCTGTTGACTCCAAGGCAGAGGAAAGCAGCTATGGCATCCAGGAAGCAGACAGCAGGGAAAGAGCCAGAGAGGAAGGGGTCAGAGACCAGATACAATCCCTAGGGTCACACCTCCATGACCTACATTGTCCAGTTAGTCCCAGCCCCTAATAGCCCACTCAGCTATGAATTCACCAATGAGTTAATCAATTGATGAGGTTAGCAGCCTCACAATCCAATCCCCTTTCCCAGAATCTCTTAATCCAGTCAAATTAACAATCAAGATTGACTATAACAGGGTTTTAGGCCATTTACAACAAAAGTATACAGCATCAGCCCCTCTATATCTGAAAATATTCTCAGATTCAATAAACTGCAGATCAAAAATACTTAGAAAAAATTGTGTCCATATCAAACATATACAAACTTTTCTTGTCATTATTCCCTAAACAATAAGGTGTAACAACTATTTTTACATAGTATTTACATAGCATTAGGTATTTTAAGTCATCTGTGGATGGTTGAAAGCAGGAATCCCCAGCACCTAGGTCACAGTACTGGTCCATGGCCTGTTAGGAACAAGGCCACAAAGCAGGAAGTGTGTGGTGGGCAAAGGAGCACAGCATCATCTGTATGTACAGCAATTCCCCCTACTTTGCAATACTGCTTGAGCTCTGCCTCCTGTCAGATCATTGGCAGCATTCAATTCTCAAAGGAGTTCGAATCCTACTGTGAATTGTGCATGCAAGAGCTGTAGATTGCATGCTCCTTATGATAATCTAATGCCTGGTGATCTGAGGTGCAGCTGAGGTGGTGATGCTAACACTGGGGAGTGGCTGTGAACACAGATTAACACTAGCAAAGACATTTAACTGCACAGAGACCTTAATAAATCAATTGCTTGAAGACTCATATCAAAACTCTATCAGTGAGTGGCAAGTCACAATTAAGCTGCACCTGGTGGCAGGCTTTAAGTCAGAATCTGACACTTATTTTAGTTCATGTGCACCTTGCGTATTATTTTATTTACCACTTCCATTCCTTCCTCTTTCCCACACTGTGCACTTGTCTCAGTCACAGGTTTGGTAAGGCCATGAGCTAACTCCAACTAAAATGGGTAAAACAGACAGACAAACAGAAGTCACTGGAGTGCTTGTTTGAAAAGGGGAGAAGACCAATGATGAGACAGCAGAAGACTCTAAGACTGCCAACTAAAAGAAAGCTGCATTTAAAAGAAAATACCAAAAGTATTATTCAAATTACAAGTTTGTTTCAACAGGTGATTCACATTGTCCAAGCCTGCTTTGTACAATATGCGGCAGCCAGCTACCTAACAAAGCCATGGAACCTTCAAAACTGCTTTGCCACATGGAGACCAAGCATTCTGCATTAAAAAACAAGCCTTTGGAGTTTTTCAAAAGAAAAATATGTGAACACAAAGAACTGAGGCAATTACTGAAGGCCACTACTTTATTAAATGCGCCTGTACTGACAGGCCCATTCTTAGTGGCTAACTCCATTGCCGAAGCCAGGAAGCCCTTTACTCTTCGAGAAGAGTTGATTTTGCCTACTGCTAAGGATATTTGTTATGATCTTCTAGGAGAGTCTGCAATTCAAACGGTGTCATGTGTTCCTCTTTCAGCACCATAACTTAATTCATTAATGAATTAATGAACTGCCAGAGAATGAGGCACAATTGTTACAAAGGACTAATGAGTTACTGTGTTATGAAATCCAAGTTGATGAATCTACCAACTTTGAAAACAAGGAAACAATGTGTTTGTTGATATATTTTTTCAGGAGCATGTGCATGAGATGTTATATGTACATTGTTGCCAACCATCAGCACAGCTGCAGGACTATTCAAGTCTTTGAATGATTAAGTATCAGGAAAACTGCACTGGTCATTGTGTGTGGATGGATGCATGGTCCATGACTGGATGGGTTTCCGGTTTCATCACTCAGGTCAAAGAGGTTGCTTCTGAATTAAGTCTACATACTGTGTCATCCACCTAGAAATGCTGGCTATCTGAAAAATGTGACCTGAACTTAATGTTTTGCAGGATGTGATTAAAATTATCAACCACAATAAAGTCTATGCTCTTAACTCATGTCCGTTTGCACAGTTCTGTGAGGAAATGGATAGAGAGCACACATATCTTCCCTTACACCCAGAAGTGATGTGGCTTTTACCAGAGTTTCTGAGCTATGAGAGCCAGTCCAGAGTTATTTTTTTAGAAAAACAGTCACCACTGGCAGCACATTTCAATGTCATGGAACGGGTTGCAGAATTTGCTTACTCATGTGACGTATTCAACCTGCTCAATGAACTCAGTCTATCACTTCAGGGGAGAACCATAATCATGTTCAAGTTGCCAGATAAAGTGGATGCATTCAAAGCCAAACTGGAATTATAGGAGCAATGAATGAACATTGGGATTTTTTTTTTTTGGTACTGGGGATCGAACTCGGGTCCCTGTGCTTGCAAGGCAGGCAGTGGAACCACTGAGCTAAATCCCCAGCTAACACTGGGATTTTTGACATGTTTCACACATAAGCAGACATTTTGAAAAAGACCGAGCCAGGGCCTTCTTTCTCTCTGCTGGTGCATGATCACCTATCTCAGCTTTCAGAAGAATCTGAGCATTACTTTCCAACCACCAAAGACCCCTGAACTTGGAAGGAATGGATTCATGACCCAGCTGTAAATAAGCCAGGTGAAGTGACTTTGTGTATGCTGGAAGAGAATCAACTGCTTGACACTGCAAATGATGGTGGTCTTCAAAGTATGTTGAGACAACTTTAAATCTCCATACATTCTGAAAGTCAAGGCAAAATATCCTGAGATTGCCACAGAAATGCTGAAAAGCCTGCTTCCATTTCCAACATCCCGTTTTTGTGAAGCAGGGTTTTCTCCAGTGACAGCAACCAAAACTGTGCTTACAGGCTACACTGATCATCAGCAATACACTCTGGGCGTTACTGTCTCACATTACCCACAGATGGGACCATCTAGAAAACAAACTCAGGGCTCCCACAATTCTGCATTTTGGTGAGTTGTAATAATAATAGAAAGAAAGTACATAATAAGTGTCATGCATTTGAATCATCCCATAATCATCTCCATCCCTGATCTGTGGAAAAATTGTCTTCCAATTTTATCCAAATACTGTGCCTTATATATAAAGAGACTGGAGCACCCAAAGTTTTTGTTACTTGCAGAGGGTCCTAGACACAGTCCCCCATGGACTGAGGGACAACTGTATATACATAGTAAAACAGTAAATTAGGTAATAAAAGATGGGAGAATGACTTTGTCAGAAAGCCAAGTTTGAGCATAGGTACTGTTTTGAAATGCAAAACTGTCCTCCGAGCCTGGGGCCCACCAGCTCTGCTGGGGACCCAGGTGGCTGCACACCTGTACCTTAGTCTGGACCAGCCTTCCCTGGTCATGAGTGTGACAGGAATTTGCTGTTGACCACCTCTGTTTTCCCCTGAATGCTACTGTCTGGCCCCTCGGGCTCCAGATCCAGACTGAGGCTGGCCTGGAGGATTGGGAGGTAAGGGCCCACCCCACTACGGGTTCATCAGAGCCAAACCAGGAGAAAGAAGCATAAACCAAACACCCTCCCCCAGGTCCGAGCCCATGAGGTTCCTCCATCCCCTACTCAGCAACGAAAACAGGACCGCATGCCTGGGCCCACGAGTAGGGCAGTTTCCTCCTCAGGCTGGCCAGCCCAGAGCACTGGGCTCACAGAGGTGGCTGGGAAAAGGAAAGAAGAAGTTCGAGCTGTGCAGCAGAGGAGGAAAGGAGATGCAATCACAGGAGGAGGTGGCAGGGAGAGATGTCCACAGCCATCGGGGCCCACCCTGGCTGGTGCCCTGTCCTCGGGGCCCCATCCCTGGCAGACTCACCCTCATCACAGTTGCTCCCGGTGAAGCCAGGGCAGCACCTCCACTCCAGCGCTGTCACCGTGCGGTAGGACACCCTGTACGTGGGTCTGATGAGAGTCCTGTAACTAACACAAGCACAGCGTCAGGGAGTTCGGGCTCCCTGTCACCCGAGACCCAGCACTGCAAAGACCACCACACTGCCTTGCCATCCCAGCTCCATGTTCACTCCGTGTGAGCTAAAGGTCCTTTCTACACCTCTCCAAATGTGGCCACCTGTCGTGGGAAACGTCCTGCACACTGAGCAAGATATGAATGTGGAAAAGAAAAATATTGTTAAAACCTGCAAAACTTCCAAACACCCTCAACTCACAAACTCTAACCTTTTCCCAGGCATTATTCCTTTTTCGTGATTCGTCTAAAGAGTACTTACTGAGCACCCATTTTGTGCCATCCTGTGGTTGAAGTCGTGAAACTGAGTCTGCATCCCTGGGCAGTGGGACATTTCAATGACATCTCCAAATACATTAGGGGATATTAAGGCAATAAAAAGCTCCTGAAGTTGGTGGTGTACACCTGTATTCCCAGAGTTCTGGGAGGCTGAGGCAGGAGGACCACAAGTTCCAGCCCAACCAATGAAAAACCTCTGTCTAAAGGTCCTGAGTCCAATCCCCACTACCACCAAGACATACACACACACACACACACACACACACACACACATACACACACCTCCTGCTTTTTAAAACATTTTAAATGAAAAATAAAATTTTTAATTAAAAAATAGATAAATAAAATTTAAAATAAAATTTCAAACAGCTCATGAAAAATGCTGTAGATCCCCATGGTAAAGTTCTACACACCAGTGTGGAAATCTCCCCTCCTGAGTTTTTTGAGCTAGGATCTTGCTGAGTAGCCAGACTGGCCTCGAACCTCTGATCTCCCTGCCCAAGCTTCCCAGGTGCTGAGATTATAGGCATGCACCACACACCCAGCTCTGAAATTCTCTTACAAATAAGTTTCATACTATTTTGTGAAATACCAAGAAAAGTGGACATTAAATGTTCAGCCGAATTTCATAAGGGGGGTGCGTTCAGCTTTTCTTATTCACTTTCTGTGCATCATTATAACTTTGCATAACTTCCCCTTTAAAACAAACAACATGACTTCACAAAGTTAAATCTGGTAACGTCAAGCAACTTAATCGGTGAATGGGAAAACGACGAATTAATTGGGAGCAGTATGCGCGCCATCCAGAGATCCCCCGATGACAGGAAAATGCACAAGTCAAAGAAATATCTAAAATTGGATTTCAGAAGTAGGGCTCTGAATCTGAAAAATCCTGTTCCACTAATTTCTCTTTTGAAAACCCTCTCACTCATGTTTCATCAGCATTCTGGCAACCAGCTCCCCCTGCCTGCAAGGGGAGCTTCTGGTGAGGAGCAGCCCCAGCTGAGCGCTGTAGGGCCAGCTAGGGTCAGGGGCAACTGAGTCACAAAGTGGTGGTGGGGGGTGGAGTCAGTCCTTACAGTGAGTGACTGGGGACAGGTGGTGAATTGCACATAGTCACTGCCATGCTCAAACACTCATGCACTCACAGCTCACATTCACAGTCACATACCACACGCTCGTGTGCTAACACTAACACAAGCTCACCACCCACATGTTCTCTTAGCTCACACCCCTGCACACACTCACTCAAACACATTCTCAATACTTACACAGGAGCACGAGCTCACTCACACTCCCACTTCCTTACTCCATAACAGTATCTCCCGTGTCCTGGGTCCTAAAGTCTGGGAGCCACACTACCGGCACCCAGGAGCCCAGGGTGAGGTCCAGAGCAGCCCTTTGGGAAAGGTCACCGCCTGGGAAGCCAGTTTAGCCACCCCCAACGTCACCTCTCCAGGCTACATAAAGACAGCCCAAACCAGGCATGGTGTGCACGCCTGTGATTCCAGCATCTGAGAGGCTGAAGCAGGAAGATGATGAGTCCAGTCCCAGCCTGGGCAGTGAGACTGGCTCAAAATAAAAAATAAAAAAGGGCTGGGGTGAGGCTCAGGGCAAAGGCCCTGGATTCAATCTTCAGTACCACAGGAAAAAAAAAAGCAAAATAATGGGGCTGAGGGAGGGACAATCTCCATATTCTGAGTGGGGATCCCTTGGGGAATGTGTTAAGCCCCATCCCAACACCCTGCAGGAGGGATTGGGGTGTCTCCCCCAGAGCACTTTGGGGCAGACATGACACAGTCCCCTGGGAGTTTGGGGGCCACGAATCTGACTCTTGCCAGCTGCCCTCCTTGGCAAGGTCAGTGCATGTGTGCATCTGATGTCAGCCCAGTGTGAAACCCCAGACTTAGAAGTCTTGAGAGGGACTCCACAGGAGGGCCACCTGGAGGGTCCCTGAGGCCGAGGGCAAGGGCGTGAGCTTGTAGCTGGGGAGGATCCCACAGGGTGGAGATGCTCAGGCTGGGCAAGCACCATCCAGGGAGATCCGAGATCGACCCCGAGAAGGGACCCGTGGGGCACTCGAGCATATTCAGGGACCTCAAGGCCAGATAACAGAAGCACCAGCCATGTGGGCCCCCTTCTCTCCTTCCTGTGCTTGCAAGTGAGAAATAAAGACAGAGGGCCAGGGATTTAACTCAGTGGTTTTGCCACCTGCTGTGCAAGCACAAGGGCCCGAGTTCGATCCCCAGTACCAAAAAAACAAACAAATGAGAAATAAAGACAGAGAGGTGGGCTGAGCCACTCCTTGCTGCTACAGGCCCAGCAGCAAGAGGAGAGAGGCCTTAATTCAGATACAAGAGGAAGTTTCTTGAAATGAGTCTGTTCTTTCCACTGAGAGGTCAGAAAAGCTGTAGAATCCATCTGGAGATGACAGCTAGGGCAGGGGAAAGGGCATGTTGTTTATTGCTTGCAGCCTGCAGACCATCCTCTAACCTCCGAAGGATGGGCTGAGGCGCCCTTCAGCCTCTGCCCCAAAGGCACTATGCGGACTCTCACAGTTAACCGCTCAGACTCCCCTCCTGGTCTGCAGGCCGAGGACACCAATGGAGACCAAGGTGCTGGAGGGAGGTTTGCAACTTGAAGGTGGACTCTGCATTCTCTTCAGCACCCTCCCCGTCACAGGGAGCATCCCAGCTCCTGAGCCACATGCACCAGCCCTTCTCCAGCTGGGGCAGTACCTCTCCCCACGCTGGTGCTACACGCCACCCCTCCCCTTCCAATCCCTCAGACCCCCAGATGCACCAGGTATTCGTGCCCCAATCCATGTCTTAAATGAAGAGCAACCCTAACAGGTGGATGCCATTGTTATCCCCAATATACCGATGGGGCAACTGAGGCATGAAGAGTTAAGGACCTTTCTCCAAGTCACAGTGCTGGAAGGCAGTGAAAGTAGGATCTAAACCCACACAGAATAGGTTTCAGCACCGGTCACCCTAGTTCATTTTTATTCCCTGCAAAGGAAACACTTCTCCCAGCAGCCACACAAGGGTCCTGATCTCACCCCTGATCTCAAAGGAGGACTCGTCCCCCAAAAAGCTCTCTTCCGGCCCCCCATTCCTGGGCCATGGGGCAGGCCATGCCACTGTGGTCCAGAAGGCTGCAAAGGAAGTAGATGGCCTGTAAAATCCAGGCTGGGGCATGCCAATAGGTGGTGCCACTTCACCGACCAGCAGGCCAAAGCTCCGCTTGGTAGAACTTCGGGTGCCACCTGGGTCCCAAAGGCAGATTCAGAGGTGATGGCTCATCACCCAGCCTAGGTGAGATCTGGAAGGAGCTTTGCTTTTCTACATCCATTAAAAAAATCCTAGCCCTGACTTGGGGATCCAGTTGGCAAACTTACTAAAATGCAGACCCAGTTTGGTGACTGCCTACTCTCCAAACCTTCCATGGCTCCCATAGACTAAAGACCAAATCCTTTAGGTCAGCTGATAAGGCACTCCCGAGCTTTCTACCTTCCCCTCCTTCTACCACCAGCAGCAGGGCTGCCACCACCATCATAGCACAAGATGCCCAGGGTGCAATGAACTCAGCCACGCTCCTTTGTACGCACAATATAGGTGCCTCTGCTTGCATGCCCTTCCTCCTTTACTCTGCCTGATAAAAGCCCAAGGAGTTTTCAGGGTTTTATTCAACTGCTCCTGCCTCTGTGAAGCATCCCTGTCCCCAGGGCAGTCAACAGGCTCTCTCCCCACCCCTTTCTTCCTACACATCTGATATAGAGCTTGGTTATAACCCAGCTCTCATTCATTCATTCACTCAGCAAACACTTGCCAAGAGCCTGTTTTGTGCAGCCAACAGGAATATAAGAAGGAATGAACTCTGCCACAGCATATGGCTGAAAGGGGGTGGGATCAGCACAAATCACAGAACCATATATGTGAACTTATGACCCATGATGGGACATGCTAAGCTGGAAAGCAGTGAATTCACTGCTCCTTGTAATTAAAATACAATTTACATGCAGTAGAAAGAAAAATCTAGTGTTTAGCTTGGTGAGCTTTTACCTTTGTGCTCACCAGCATCCCTATTCCTTCAAAACTCCCCCTCCAAGCTGGGCTTGGTGAAGGAGGATCACTGCAAATTCAAGGCCAGCCTGGGCTTCATTGTGAGTTCAAAAGCAACCTTATCTACATAGCAAGACTCTTTCAAAACAAAACAAAATCTCTCCTGACAATTCTCTGGCTCCAGAGGTAATCTTTTTTCTGACATCTCTCACCATGGATTAGTTTTGCCTGAGCTAGAACTTCATGAAAAGAAATCCTCTGTACCAAAAAAGAAAAAACAAAAAGAAATCCTACAGTTTGCACTCTTCTGTCTTCCTTCTTTCACTCACCCATTATGCCTGAGGTTCATCCATGTTGTTAAATGTAGTGATATTTGTCCCTTTTTATTAGTAAAGAATATTCTACTATATAAATGATACATGAATATTTGGAATTTGTCCATATTCTTGTTGATGGACTTTTAAGTATTTCCAGTTTTGAGGTATGATGAGCAAAGATTCTATCAACATTCTTGTACAAGTCTTTTTTGGACATGGGTTTTCATTTCTCCATGGTACATACTTGTAATAGAATTGATGAGCCAGAGAATAGATAGATATTCAGTTTTAGTAGAC